TTTCCTGAATCCTCCTTCAGATGACAGGCCGACAGGATCACTTTCCAACATGACTGCAAACAGTAAATGAATGAACACATTTTGCATAGGCTTAGCTGTGCATTTTATTGAGCAGCAAGGGACTATAAATAATAACCATATTCCTAATAGACTGTTGTCAACATTCAGCATATTACATTCAGGTTTTATGAAGAGGATGTGATTCCGTTCCTGTCTTATAAGACCCCTGGTTATGATTGTAAGGAAAACTGGAACAAAATCCATACTAAAAAGTGTCTAAAATAAGTGAACTGTAGTGATCACCACTGAGGACATGCCCACCTCTCTTGATTGTCTTTTGAAGGAGGTTAAATGACTTGGTTAAATGACTCATTTAGATTAGGCACATGACTTTAGTTGCCTAAATTTAGGTGTGTGAAGCTCACAGAATGAACACTCAGATTATTATGTCCAAAAGAAACCCAGCAATTGCTCAACAGACAAAAACAGTAATCTGAAGAAGTACCTAGTAAATGCCTAGGGCTTCAAAATGGTTATAGACCCAGGTATAGCATGAATTTAAAGCACATTACCAATTCTACATACTCCACCTGTAGACACTCTTACTGTGAAATAAGAAGGCCTTTTCTTCCTTTACTCTGCTCCTGGAAGAGATTGTGTCCACAGGCCCTTACAATCAATACACCTGTGCCAGTGGTCAGAGTACTGTTCCTGGAAATGAAAGGTTAGTGGCAGCTTAGGCTCACAGAGGACACAGGTGAAGGAAACATCTTTCCTGAACTACTGTAGTTTGGGCAGCTCGTGATCCTCATTTCATTGCTGTGAAGGCCCAGCTGAATGCTTTAGAGCCACTCACTTTCAGGTCAGTCAGGGTGACGTCCCAGCTCTTCTGCAGCCTGTGACAAACCCCATAAGCCCAGATTTTGTCTCCATGTCTCGGGAGTTTATAAGCACAGAGCAGCATTAAGTGCTGCACTGGTTGGGGGCAGGGGAGAGAAAAAAAGCCTTGTTGGTTTTATATCTTAGATAAGCAACTGTATTTACTAAAATAATCTCATTCCCAAGCAAATAGATTTGATTCTATAGAAATGTGCATCTTATCACTGACAAACATTTGAACAAGCTTTTTGAATGGTGCCTCTTACTGATTTTTCAATAACAATCAAATGTTTCAATTAAAGCATGGTCTTCCATTCAGACACTTACTGTCCAACTGTAAAATGACTGATTGACTGCAATTATAAAGCAAGATGAATTATTTCTGTCTTCTTTTCAGCCTAAAGAAAACTAGTGTAGGGTTTTGTTGTTTAAGGGGGTTGATGTGTTTCATTATGTGCTCACAAAGAACAGCTCGGTGATATTCCAGCAATCGGTTATATGGTCTATTTTTATTAGCAGCACAAGAAAGCAAATACTGCACAGCTCATCAGGCAGTGTAAATGAAATGCAATAATGAAGTTCTCAAGCAAGCAGAATCCAGCATGCCCGCCTAATTCCCTTTTTGCATTGAGCGCATGAAGTACTGCAGGAACTTCTCTCTGTATAAACACATCTCTGTTTTATCATACATAATTCAGGATTTTCAATTCCCTGATGGAGTAGATTATCTAACTCCATACACTGAGGTATGGTCCACAATCCCTGCACCAGTATTGTGCCGCTGCAGTACCCTACTACACTGCATTATTGATATAGCTCTGCCTCTTGCAATAACATATGTGCTCTCAATCAGCTTTATCCTAATACTTTTTAAATGTCTATAGCGTCCTCCCTGCCAAGACCTGGATATGCTCTAAATGCAATAATTTAGAGTCCACAGAACAACACTGTGGGTAAACAAGAGTTTTCAAGCATCATCCATGGGTGCACAAGGGTACATGTAACAAGACTGTTCCACAGCTCCAGCACTTGCTGCTCTTGAAATTGATGGGAAGTCTGTGAGGACCTCTTTGGGAACAGGTCTCAAAAGACAGGCATTTCTGTAATAATCTTCTGTGTCCTGTAAGTCACCTCAAACCTGGCATTGAAGAGCCCAGGCAGGGTCTGTTCCTGTGCAATCGCCATCCTCACAATGGGATTGCAGGCTGTGTCAATCAGTGTGGAATTGAGTCCGGAGACTTGAGCTGCCACGAACATCTTAAAAGAAGATTACACCCATGTAATAATGCGCAATCCTTTGCCAATCCCTAAAGAAGGGCGGCGGCGGGGGGAATCAGATTTCTCAGCCAGCTCAATCCTGGTTGTCCTGGAGGCCAACCCTAACTCAGGTATCCAGAATCTCTGCAGCTCTGAGCCTGGCACACTCAAGCCTGCTGGGACACGGGTTCATCCTTGGTCGGTGGTCCTGCTATGGACATGCAGCCCTGAGCCCAGTGGCTGAATGCAGGAAGATGAATCTCCAGAGCCAGAAGATGGTTTCTGTACCTTCACAGGCAACTGCCTTTGCAGAATAACAGAAATGCTCCCACTGCAGCCTCTGGTTTGGCTCTGTGGAGCCAGGCCCATCCTCTGGCTGCAGCATCCAGCACAGAGGGGAGGGATGGTGCAGACATGGGCATCCAGACACTTTCTGCATCCTTCTCCTGGGGGGAAAGATCTGGGCAGTATTCCCCAGTGTAGGCTCAGTGGCAAGAGGGGGCCGTGTCCTTCAGCCCCCAGGAGAGGAAGAGGCAGATAACTTCATGTCTATACCTCCAACCACATCTCAGGCATGGTTTGCATGCTCAGCTCCTGGGCAAGGGAGACAGGAACTGGCCTGGCCAGAGGTGCCAGCCTGCATAGCCTCACTTGGGGCACGAGGGGACTTGACCACTGTTCTCTGTCCTCAGTTTGCAAAAACACTGTGCTCTGCAAGACCAGGTAGAACTCACAGCTAATCTCCCACTAGCGCCCTGTGTCCCCCAGGAACGTGGCCCACCATCTTCTAAATCAGCCTGTCCCCAGCTTAACAGATGGACTGGAGCAGTCAGGAGGCAAGACGTGAGCATCAAAGGCTGAGATGAAAATCAGAGTTGGGTGGGATTACAGAGATGACTGCTCTTTTGAGGCTGGGCTTCTTATTCAAGGGATGTACTTTGACCATCCAGCTTGGAGGTAAATTGGCTTCAGACAATAACCTCCTGTACTGAGATTGCTTTAGGTGATCTGAATTGGGATCAGCGCTAGAAAGAGATTGTGCTGGGAGGGCAAGAGGAAGAAACGTAATAAAATTACAGAGAACAACACATGAAGAGGGGAAGGGGAACAGGAATCCTGTTACCCTGATCCTGTAGCAGGTGAGAGCACCATACCTATGGAAACTGAAAGATGACCTGCAAAGGACAGATGTATACTGACTGCTGAAATGCAGAGGTGTGGAAGTGAGCGACTGCAACACCAAGGCAATGTGTTTATAAGAATTAAATATAAACACAGGCAAGAATGTCTGCATGAGTATAGGTAACTCTGCTATTGCCCTCTGAGGGCTGGGTCCCCATAGCACTAAAGCTCAAATCCAGTCAAATTACTTGGTAGCCGGCTTGAACTTTCCCAGCAGCAGATAATCCCACCGTTCACTCCTGTTTGTCCTGAAGGGTCAGGTCCTGGCAGTGTCAGGACTAGCTATCCAGGATAGGATCTCTGGGCACTTTCACCACATGAATCACACAGCAGCCACCTTTGGAAACTCCTCGTGAATAGTTTGCAACTTTGCCTAATCACTCCTGGACATACTTGACTCAGTAGAGCCCTCTGTGCCTCCAGAAAGTCCCCTGCCTGCCTTTAACCTCCTCAGAGCTGACCTCCCTGCAGCCCAAAGTCTGCAGCTGTGGCCTTAGGGTTTGGCTTTTGGCTTTGACCCATGAACGACAGCCAAATTCTTTGCCCATCACGAGGCAGCAGTGTCCATCACTCTTTGCTTTTTCCATGGTTGTTTTTTGCAAGCTCTCCTCAGGCAAAGGCTGAGTTTCAGGGCAGCCGGGGGAAAGGGAAAGGGGTTGTGCAACCTGAGTCACACCTGACTCCTTCTGCAGGTCACTCCCAAGCTTAGAGCCTGGGATGGAGGAGAAGTGTGGCTACCAGGTCTGTGAACCGCTGCGCTCGACTCCTGGCATGCACGGCCTCATCTCTGTCTGCAGAGCTGGCAGCCAGCTCATCCTCCGCAGCCCTGAAGGGCTGAGCCAGGTGCCAGCTCTGCAGGCAGAGAAAGAGGCTGTCCCCATCGCTGCGGGAGGCACCCAGGAGCAAGGGCACACCTGGGCCACCTCTCCCCTTCGGTGACTTGCCTCGTGCTCCCAACTTCAGCTCTTCCTGCCCTTCTGGACCACCTTAGAACCATAGAATCATTTAGGTTGGAAAAGACCTTCAAGATCATCGAGTCCAACCATTAACCGTGCCCAACCTTCTTCCCCTTCTCACAGCCCCAGCTTTGCAGGGAGGGCCGCGCACCATCGCTCGCAGGGTTGGGGTCCGTCCTTCTAACGCTGGCATTGAGCGTGACCGTCCGACAGGGCCAGCCCCCACGCATGCCACGCACAGCGGTTTGAGGGAGCAGCATTTTGGATGGCCTCCCGCCCTGTTTTTCTTGTTTCCCCCATGAGCGGCAGGGAGTGCCCCACACAGGGGTGCCCTCGAGAACAAGCTGCATCAGAAGGGGCAGCAGCAGGCGGGCGAGGACGGTGGAGGCCAGGCCCACTGTGCTGAGGGCCGCGGCTCTCCCCTGGCTGCCGCCATGCCCTGGCCCCTCTGGGTCCTGGCCTCCGGGCACGCCGGTGCAGCCGCGGCCCCGCTCGGCACGGGAGAGGAAAACGGGGTCCCCGAAGGACACATCTCCCTTCTAGCCTCTCCCCTGCCCGTGCGGCTTGGCGGTGCCGGCAGCACGGGGCTTTAACTTTCCCCGCCGGATCGAGGGCCTTCTGTCACCATGTCGCCGCCTCGCAGCCCCGTCCCCTCAGGGCACCCGGCCACCGTATGCGGGCTGTGGGCCGCGGGGCGGGGGCCCCTTCCCTCCCG